AGAATTGTTTTACTGAGGCCACAGAACTGTTACTTAGGAGGCCACAGAATTGGTTACTAAACTCGCTGTCATTACGGCACAGGTATGACCAGAGGTGTGTACTACTGCAGGGGAAACTCTAGCTCTCGCTTTCTTTATTTTTTCAGATATGTGATATACAAGTACAATGTAATAACACCTATCCATCACAAACATAAACGCAGTGCAATACTTAAAACATAATACACGTGCACCCACAAACCCAACCAATCACCCTCAGATAAAGAGTACGATACAAGCAAGCGTCGTTCAGGCAGGCCGGTCAAACGGATATCAATTGGGAGGTAGGTACAGGGGGAGCAAGCAGAGAATGGTCCGGGGTCCCTACAGGCCAGGTTCAGAGCAGGTAGCAAGCAGCGTAGTACTCGAGGGCTCAGCAGAGGGATTGGTCAGGGTCCACAAGCCCAGGGATCAAACAGGTAACAAGCAGCGTAGTACAGAGGGTCAGGCAGAGGACAGAAACAGGATGCAGACAGATACAGGGCCCAGGACAAACACAAACACCAAGGCAGAGTCTGTGGGTCTGGCCATCCCTTAAATACCCCCGCATCATCAGTTCCACGGTGTTAGCTGGCTGAAAGGTTGAGTCTCTGATTGCTGGGAGCACCCCTGGCCAGCCCTGGTACTGACAAGATCAAAAGGCAGGTGAGTCCCACCATTGCTGGCCAGCCATTTCCTGACAGTACCCCCCCCTCAAGGTAGCGGCCTCAGGACGCTCCAAACAGTCCTAGCTGGGAGGACTCCGGGCAGCGGCACACCGGGCTGGACTCCGGGGCAAGAGGCACACCCGGGCTGGACTCCGGGCAGAGGCACACACCGGGCTGGACATCCGGGCAGAGGCACACCGGCAGCTGGACTCGGGCAGAGCACACCTGAGCAGAGGCACACCGGGCAGAGGCACAGCCGGGCAGAGGCACACATCGGGCAGGACTCCGGGCAGAGGCACATCGGGCCAGGACTCCGGGCAGAGGCCACACGGGCAGGACTCCTGGGCAGAGGGCCATCGGGCGGACTCCGGGCAGAGGCCCATCGGGCATGACTCCGGGCCGCAGGCACCATCGGGCCCCGAGACTCTCCTGGGCAGCGCGGGCACCGGGCGGGGCACAGGCACCGGGGCCCCCGGGCGGGGCAGCAGGCACCGGGGGCCCCGGGCGGGGGAGCAGGGCAACCGGGGCAGGTAGCCCCGCAGCGGGCCCACGGGCCCCGCGGGGAGGCAGCAGGCCGGGCACCCCGGGCGAGGCAACGGGCGCCGGGGCCCCCGGGCGGGGAGCCGGCACGGGCCCCCGCACCCGGGCCCCCGGGGCGGGGCGACCGCGGGCATCGGGCCCCCCCGGGCGGGCGCGCACAGGGCCCCCCGGGCCCCGAGCAAACCCCCCAACCGGGCCCCCGGGGCGGAGCAGCGGGCAGGGCCATCGGGCCCTTCGAGGGGGCAAACCAGGCACGGGCCCCCGGGCGGGGCAGCAGGCACCGGGGCCCCCGGCCCGGGCAGCAGGCACCGGGCCCCCGGGCGGAGCAGCAGGCACCGGGCCCCCGGGGGGGCCGGCGGGCGGAGTCGGGCCCCCGGGACGGCAGGCGGGCGGGGGAAGCCCCGGGCGGGCAGCAGGCACCGGCGGCCCCGGGGGGGCAGGGCAGCAGGCGGGCCCGGGGCGGAGCCGGGCGCCGGGCCCCCGGGCGGGGCGACCGGCACCCCCCGCGGGGCGGCCGGGCGCCGGGCCCCCGGGGGGCAGCAGGCACCGGGGCCCCCAGGCGGGCGGGCAGGCAGCCGACCGGCCCCCGGGCGGGGCGCAGGCCCGCCGGGCTCCCCGGGCGGGGGCCGCCAGGCACCGGGCCCCGGGCGGGGCCAGGCACCGGGCCCCCGGGCGGGGCAACAGGCACCGGGCCCCCCAGGCGGGGCAACAGGCACCGGGCCCCCGGGCGGGGCGGGCAGGCAGGGCCCCGGGCCCCCGGGGGGACAGGCATCGGGCCCCCAGGCGGGGCGACAGGCATCGGGCCCCCCAGGCGGGGCGACAGGCATCGTGCCCCCCAGGCGGGCAACAGGCATCGGCCCCCAGGGGGGGGCGGGCGCCGGACCCCCAGGCGGAGGGGCGGGCGCCAGACCCCCAGGCGGAGCGGCGGGCGCCAGACCCCCCAGATGGAGCGACAGGTCTCGGGCCCTCAGGCGGAGGGGCGGGCGCCGGGCCCCCCAGATGGAGCGACAGGTCTCGGGCCCTCAGGCGGAGCGGCGGGCGCCGGACCCCCAGGCGGAGCGACAGCTCTCGGGCCCTCAGGCGGAGCGGCGGGCGCCGGACCCCCAGGCGGAGCGACAGGTCTCGGGCCCTCAGGCGGAGCGGCGGGCGCCGGACCCCCGGGCGGAGCGACAGGTCTCGGGCCCTCAGGCGGAGCGGCGGGCGCCGGGACCCCCCCGGGCGGAGCGACAGGTCTCGGGCCCTCAGGCGGAGCGGCGGGCGCCGGGCCCCCGGGGCGGGCAACAGGCACCGGGCCCCCGGGGGGGGCAACAGGCACCGGGCCCCCGGGCGGGGCAACAGGCACCGGGCCCCGGGCGGGGCAACAGGCACCGGGCCCCCGGGCGGAGCAGCAGGCACCGGGCCCCCGGGCGGAGCAGCAGGCACCGGGCCCCCGGGCGGGGGGCGCCAGGCATCGGGCCCCCCGGGCGGGGCGCCAGGCACCGGGCCCCCGGGCGGAGCAGCAGGCACCGGGCCCCCGGGCGGAGCAGCAGGCACCGGGCCCCCGGGCGGAGCAGCAGGCACCGGGCCCCCCGGGCGGGGTGACCGGGGAGTCGGGCCCCCAGGCGGGGCGGCGGGCCGCCGGGCCCCCGGGAGGGGCGACAGGCATCCGGCCCCCAGGCGGGGCGACAGGCATCGGGCCCCCAGGCGGGGGGGCGACAGGCATCGGGCCCCCAGGCGGGGCGACAGGCATCGGGCCCCCAGGCGGGGCGACAGGCACCGGGCCCCCGGGCGGAGCGAGCAGGCACCGGGCCCCCGGGCGGAGCAGGCAGGCACCGGGCCCCCGGGGGAGCAGCAGGCACCGGGCCCCCGGGCGGAGCAGCAGGCACCGGGCCCCCGGGCGAGGAAGCAGGCGCCGGGCCCCCCGGGCGGGGCAACAGGCGCCGGGACCCCCGGGCGGGGCGCCGGGCGCCGGGCCCCCGGGCGGGGCGCCGGGCGCCGGGCCCCCGGGCGAAGCGGCGGGCGGGCCGGGCCCCCGGGCGGAGCGGCGGGCGCCGGGCCCCCGGCGGGGCGGCGGGCGCCGGGCCCCCGGGCGGGGCAACAGGCACCGGGGGCCCCCGGGCGGGGCAACAGGCACCGGGCCCCCGGGCGGGGCAACAGGCACCGGGCCCCCGGGCGGAGCAGCAGGCACCGGGCCCCCGGGCGGAGCAGCAGGCACCGGGCCCCCGGGCGGGGTGACCGGAGTCGGGCCCCCGGGCGGGGCGGCGGGCGCTGGGCCCCCCGGGCGGAGCAGCAGGCACCGGGCCCCCGGGCGGAGCAGCAGGCACCGGGCCCCCGGCGGAGCAGCAGGCACCGGGCCCCCCGGGCGGGGTGACCGGGAGTCGGGCCCCCGGGGGGCGGCGGGGCCCCCGGAGGGGCGACAGGCATCGGGCCCCCGGCGGGGCGACAGGCATCGGGCCCCCCGGGCGGGGCGACAGGCACCGGGCCCCCGGGCGGGGCGCCATGCACCGGGCCCTCGGGGGGCAACAGGCACCGGGCCCCCGGGCGGGGCAACAGGCACCGGGCCCCCGGGCGGGGCAACAGGCACCGGGCCCCCGGGCGGGGCGCCAGGCACCGGGCCCCGGGCGGGGCGCCAGGCATCGGGCCCCCGGGCGGAGCAGCAGGCACCGGGCCCCCGGGCGGAGCAGCAGGCACCGGGCCCCCGGGGGGAGCAGCAGGCACCGGGCCCCCGGGCGGAGCAGCAGGCACCGGGCCCCCGGGCGGGGTGACCGGAGTCGGGCCCCCCAGGCGGGGGCGGCGGGCGCCGGGCCCCCGGGAGGGGCGACAGGCATCGGGCCCCCAGGCGGGGCGACAGGCATCGGGCCCCCGGGCGGGGCGACAGGCACCGGGCCCCCGGGCGGAGCAGCAGGCACCGGGCCCCCGGGCGGAGGCAACAGGCACCGGGCCCCCGGGCGGAGCGGAGCAGCAGGCACCGGGCCCCCGGGCGGGGGCAGGCACCGGGCCCCCGGGCGGGGCAACAGGCACCGGGCCCCCGGGCGGAGCAGCAGGCACCCGGGCCCCCGGGCGGAGCAGCAGGCACCGGGCCCCCGGGGCGGGGCGCCAGGCACCGGGGGCCCCCGGGCGGGGCGCCAGGCACCGGGCCCCCGGGCGGGGCGCCAGGCACCGGGCCCCCGGGCGGAGCAGCAGGCACCGGGCCCCCGGGCGGAGCAGCAGGCACCGGGCCCCCGGGCGGAGCAGCAGGCACCGGGCCCCCGGGCGGGGTGACCGGAGTCGGGCCCCCAGGCGGGGCGGCGGGCGGGCCCCAGGAGGAGCGACAGGGAGGGGGGGCGACAGGCATCGGGCCCCCAGGCGGGGCGACAGGCATCGGGCCCCCAGGCGGGGCGACAGGCATCGGGGCCCCCAGGCGGGGCGACAGGCGGGGCGGGCCCCAGGCGGGGCGGCGGGCGCCGGACCCCCAGGCGGAGCGGCGGGCGCCGGACCCCCAGGCGGAGCGGCGGGCGCCGGACCCCCAGGCGGAGCGACAGGTCTCGGGCCCTCAGGCGGAGCGGCGGGCGCCGGACCCCCAGATGGAGCGACAGGTCTCGGGCCCTCAGGCGGAGCGGCGGGCGCCGGACCCCCAGGCGGAGCGACAGGTCTCGGGCCCTCAGGCGGAGCGGCGGGCGCCGGACCCCCAGGCGGAGCGACAGGTCTCGGGCCCTCAGGCGGAGCGGCGGGCGCCGGACCCCCAGGCGGAGCGACAGGTCTCGGGCCCTCAGGCGGAGCGGCGGGCGCCGGACCCCCAGGCGGAGCGACAGGTCTCGGGCCCTCAGGCGGAGCGGCGGGCGCCGGACCCCCAGGCGGAGCGACAGGTCTCGGGCCCTCAGGCGGAGCGGCGGGCGCCGGACCCCCAGGCGGAGCGACAGGTCTCGGGCCCTCAGGCGGAGCGGCGGGCGCCGGACCCCCAGGCGGAGAGCGACAGGTCTCGGGCCCTCAGGCGGAGCGGCGGGCGCCGGATCCCCAGGAGGAGCGACAGGTCTCGGGCCCTCAAGCGGAGCGGCGGGCGCCGGACCCCCAGGCGGGGCGGCGGGCACCGAGTCACCAGGCACAACCGTGGGCTCCGAGTCAACTGGGATGACCGCTGGCACTGGGTCAGACATTGGATCGTCTGGCTGGACAGCGGGCATCGGGTCACCAGGTATGACAGCGGGCACTGGGTCACCAGGCATCAGGTCATTTGGCTCGACAGCGGGCACCGGATCAGGTACCGGATCATCTGGATCAACAGCGGGCATCGAGTCAACTGGCCTAATAGGATCGTCAGGCTGGATCAGTTCATCATGCTGGGTAGAGGCATCAGGCTGAATGCCGGCGTCTGGCTGAGTAGAGGCATCAGGCCGAGTAGAGGCTTCAGGCCGAGTAGAGGCTTCAGGCCGAGTAGAGGCATCAGGCCGAGTAGAGGCATCAGGCCGAGTAGAGGCATCAGGCCGAGTAGAGGCATCAGGCCGAGTAGAGGCATCAGGCCGAGTAGAGGCATCAGGCCGAGTAGAGGCATCAGGCCGAGTAGAGGCTTCAGGCTGAACCACGGAAGGCAGGCTCACCGGTTTGGATACTGGCAGGATGGTATTGGTTGGAAAGAATTTTCGCTTTTTTCTGGTTTTAACTACTGGAGCACTGCAAGTAAACGCAGGTCTGCAAACGAATGGAGCAGCTGGAGACAGAGAAGAACTGGAGGATGGAACAGGAGAGGGAGCAGTTGCTACAGAGGGCTTTTTTACAGGGTTAAAGGCAGGATAGGTGCAGCGAGTGGGAACAGGGTACTGACATGCGGTAGATAGCAGGGCAGGAGGAGCTGTTGGGAATGCAGGAATAGAGTTTTGAGGAAATAGATTAGAAGCAGGACTGGGTCTTTGTAAGCTGACTGAGGCTGGGTGCAACAAGTCTGTCCATGTCTGCAGTATGGGTTGAACAAAGCTGAGCTTACACAAAGCCTGTCTGGTCAATGACTGCACTGCGTTTATACAATCTCTTAGTGTCTGTGGTGAACATGCAGAGTAACGCTCCAGAAAGTAACCCACATCATCCTCTAATAACCACACCAGGGACTCTACCTGGTCTGCACTAAATGGTGGCAAAAATTCATCCCTGCATTCGGGGGAACCAGATGAAACCAACTCAGCACAAACCTCAATCAAAGGCTGCACCTCAGAGAACTCTGTGCCCTGATCTACTAGAACATGAGCGAGCCGTATACATTCTAGCAGTTCATCCCGGGGATACTCCTTCAGAGTTTGATAAGCATACTCCCTGTCATCAAACACTAGCAGATATAAATATTCAACCTCATCAAGATCCATCCTTCCCATCAACAAGCCAAGATGGCTTCCCTGTGCAGCCACTTCTGGTCAGGATTGGCCTTGGTGTAATGTCAGGGCTCCCAGGTATGACCAGAGGTGTGTGACTGATGCAGGGAAACGCAGACTTCAGATATGTGATAAACAATACAATTTATTAACACTAACCATACAAACATAAACGCAGTGCAATACTAAACATAATACAGTGCAAACAAACCAAACCAAACCAACCACCCACAGATAACAGTACATACAATGCAAGCGTCGTCAGGCAGGCCGGGTCAATATCAATTGGGCAGGTAGGTACAGGGGGAGCAAGCAGAGAATGGTCGGGGTCACAGGCCAGGTTCAGCAGGTAGCAAGCAGCGTAGTACAGAGGGTCAGGCAGAGGGATGGTCAGGGTCACAAGCCAGAGATCAAAACAGGTAACAAGCAGCGTAGTACAGAGGGTCAGGCAGAGGGACAGAAACAGGATGCGGGACAGAAACAGGGCCCAGGACAAACACAACACCAAGGCAGAGTCTGTGGGTCTGGCCATCCCTTAAATACCCCAGTATCATCAGTTCCAGGTGTTAGCTGGCTGAAAGGTTGAGTCTCTGATTGCTGGGAGCACCCGCTGGCCAGCCCTGGTACTGCAGATCAAAAGGCAGGTGAGTCCCACCATTGCTGGCCAGTCCATTCCTAACAGGCTGTCCTTAATTCAGTCCCTAGTGCAGCAAGCTCTTTATTAAAAGTGTGAAAAAATTGTAATCTAATACACTCACATATTGCTGGTGCCACAGGGAGCACTAACCCAAACAGCTAACTAGGGGAATTACAATTCTTTTCACACTTTTAATAAAGAGCTTACTGCACTATAAAATATTTTTCTTGGAATTTTTTTCTGAGATACTGGCTAGGAATGGAGAAATAGGTGTAATGTTACTTGATTGGAAGAGATCTGAAGGATTATGCAGGATTAGGCATCGCACCTAAGGCATACAGGATTTGTGCTTACAAGTTTGCTGGCTACTTTGTTGGCCGAGTTAATCTGGTGAGTTCTAATTTTTTCTATGATTATCACCATCATTTTATATTTGGTTAGTGCCTAACAGGGCTTGTTTCTGCCCTGCCCATTCAGCTGTCAGTGGGGGATTCCCAGTTGACAGCAGAATGTAAACAAAGGGGCAGGGTTTGTATTTGTTTTTATCCAAAAAAAGAAAGAAAAAAACACTGATGGCTGACATGAACCATTCCTGTTGTTTACTCACTGTGAATGACATATCCTGTTCCTCACTGATAAAAGTAGACAAAGGAGCGGGGTCTCACGGCTGATGTCTTTGACCCAATATGGGCATAGAGTGAGTGATGGAAACGGATTCCCTGGACAGGCGCAGGCAAATTTTGGGAAATTGTCTCTCATGCATTCTAAAAGTGCTGAAGAATGCGCCAAATTCATGTACATGTCTAAAACTTGTATTTTATGTTTTTTTTTCAATTTTATTTTCTTTTATTGTCAAAAAGTGTCAGTATGTTTATTTACTATTTGCATTTTTTTTTCGTTTTTAATGAGCAGGGGTACTAAATAAGCCTTACTTATTCACATAGAGGGCAGTATCTAGGGGGCCTCTTTATTATTTAAGAGGGATTCCAGATTCTGAAAGGCCCCCCTGCCCACAGATTCTCAAAACCATTGGCCAGGAATGTGGAGAAAATGCCCTTATCCTCATCAACATGAGAAGAAGGTGCTTTGCCAAGGGGAGCTGTGGGAAAGTGGCTTATCAGAATCCCTCTTTAACAATAAGGGGGTCCCAAGGTACTGCCACCCCCTTTCGCATGTGTAGGTCCATTAAAGATAAGTGCAAAGTGTGCATTAACAACTTGTAATGAAATGCTTGCTGAAAAGCTTATTTGTTGAGCTATGCGTATCCAAGACTAGAGTGATTTAGTTCATTGCCTCATTGATATGCAAAAGGAGGGTAGTTGTCTGCTTGAAAAAGAAAGTTAGCCTGAAATTTGAAACACTCAAGCTTGGCATGAACTGTAACCATAGGTATTTTGAAGACTTTACAACATTTTTAAAAATAATCTACAATCAACAAGAATGTATGTGATCTAAAATGAAAGATATTCATGACTAGCCATTGTGATAGTAGTTCAGTACTGTCATAAGACCCTACTGCAGGGGGTTGTTTTCTTGACAAGATTTGCAGTTTTTTTACCCTTTGCTAATTGTCCCTAGTCAGCCCCGTATGTTTAAAATCCGTGTATGTATCAGGCCAAGCCATAATTATTGTTATGCATTCTTTGGAGTGTTATCAATACAGTAAGGTAAATGTACAGCACAATACTGTAAATTGATTGTAAAGGTTCTTCTTTTTTTTAAATAACAAACATGTTATACCTACCTGCTCTGTGCAATGGTTTTGCACACAGTGACCCTGATCCTCCTCGTCTGAGGTCCCCTGCCAGCGCTCCTGGCTCCTCTTTCACATGTGCCACCATAGGAAGCCACTTCTTATGGTGGCACACAACCGCACTCAATCCTAAACCACGCTATGTGCGGCTCAACCCAGCCCCCTGTTCCCTCTGGATATGATTGACAAGAGCCAATGGCTCCCTCTTCTCTCACTGAGTCCAAAGAGGAGGGAGAGAGAGAACTGCTCTCGGGTACAGCACTAAATCGAGATCAAGCTCAGGTAAGTATTTTGGGGAGGCTGTTAGCAATTTATTTTGTCTATTTCATCAATGAGTCTAAGTTCTGTTTATTGGGAAATTATTTATTCCCGAATGATGCCACATCTTTCTAAAATATGAAACGTTAAACTTTGTGGTACTCTGCTGGTAACAAACAAGATATGTAGATGATGGATACCATCTATGTAAATATATGCTTGTGGGTGATTGCTCCTATACTCGCCTGTCCCAGTGCTGAGCATAGGGCCCTTTAATTCATTACCCACAATCTCCTGGGCTCCCATCAGCCTCTGGATTCTTGGACATGCGCTGGGAATATAGCTTGCAAACTGAAGCTCCTCCCACTGTCCCATGCTCATCGTGACTGTGTTGGAGAAGCAGTTACTGGGCTAGTTAGCTGCGACCAGGTTCAGGACCCCGCTACATCAGAATTAGTAAGTAGGCCTCCGAAGGGTACAAGAGTATGCTGCACTAACCTAAACCCAGTCACACTGGTGAACACTGTCCAAGGAAACTCCACAGTGCAATCATTCTAATGGGATAGTGTTACTCTCAGTTTCCTGATGTGCTTTTCCAGAGAATACACAACAACCATACTTGTTGCGGGGTTCATGTCTTCAGCTATCTGGGTCACCCTCTGACGCTGTTCTCTGGTAAGAGAGGGAAACACATGGCAACTCTGTCCAAGGAAGTATTTGAATTTTTACAGACAGCCTAGTGTTTGAAAACCTGTTTCCTATACTGTCACCAGGCCAGGTGTGAGAATTTCGATTGTAAATCTACTGTTACTGGAATGTTTATTGACTCTCCATCTGTTATTTTTTTGTTTGTAACCAATAGAAGTGTTTGAGAAATGTATAAACTATAATTTAGACTGTTTTTCTATGTATTATCTAAGGGCTATCATGATTGTCTGGATCACTCTTAGGACGTTTAACAAAATATTGATTCTTTGGATAGTCCAGAGATAGCATTTACAAGTTTAAATCCACCTTCTCAATCTGCTTGCCCCTTGCTTTTGTTTCAGTCATGTCTTTGAGGATGCAGCCAATATGCCGAAGCAATGGTCACTTATGCATACCTATAGATCCACATAGATTATATCGGTGTTTCTCAACCTTTTTTCCGTCAAGGCACAGTTTAAAATTCTGCAAAATTTTGAGGCACCCCATTCTAAAATGTAAAAAAAACTAAAACTTTTACATAACACAGCAACATCCACACACATAGGACTCCAAAGTTAGAGGTGATTTACTCTTCCAAAGCAAACAGTGG